TCCATTCCAAATAGGTATGGACTCCCTTTATCAAAAGCCCAAGCATGAAATGATTCTTATCAATTACGGACACATCCGTCTGACTGATCGAGTGCCCTTTAGAAATGACGTGCTGCGCAATTCCAGAGTGGTCAACCTGTCTGAGGCGGACTGCAGATAAGCGCTCTTTTACCGGGATATTCAATTTCCGGTAGGCCTTTACGATATATATCTTATCGCAGTCTCCGTACTCGACTCTCTATACCACATTCAACTCCTCCTCATGGTGGCTAGGAACTTACTTCTTGATTAAAGCACCCCTATGTTCATGCCGATCATGTAGAAGAATCGAAGTCCTATCTTGTTGAGGTATCTTCTAATGAGATCGAATGCCTTTGGGCATGTATGGTATAATATCATAAGCCTCTTCTGACGAGGCTTCATCAAGATGGAACACGTAGTAAAGAGGGTCGAATTTAAGCGTATAGGACGGTAACAGTGTTGCACGCTTCCTGTTCGCGTAAACGTATGTCGCGCATGAGGTTTCTGAAAGGTATCAGTATTGCGCATCGAGTGCAAATATCCGTTTGAGTGAGTCAGTTTCCGAAACGGAAACATTAAATTCAAGCGACAATGTTCTTTTCACAAGTATATCAAGAAATAGTATATTCTTATTCACGTCGGCCTCCGTCTTGTTCACCTATCGTATTTTACTATTAATTACCTCTCCATTCATGTAATTAGCAAAACTTATTCGCTGTTCTGGTCTGTCATTGGAATCAGTTGAAACTGTCATCCACAAGTCTAGCGTGGGATTCTGCTGCACATTCGTTAAGGGCTTTTACCTCCGGGTAATCCAGACAGAGATCAGACGAAATAACACTCACTTGAGAGCCCAAAGCACCATTCTTTTGTGATGGATGTTTTTGGCAAACTTGAAATTTGCGTTCGCCACTACAAAACGAAAGACTAGAAACAGATCCTCAATGCTGCAGTTTCTAAACGCCTTTTCTGGTGCTTGTTGGGCGTATTTTCTGAAAATGACCGAAAGGATATCCGGGAGAATATCTGACAGTTGACTTTTTAAAGGCGCTGTTGGAGTCATTCGTACTGACTTTTTACTGAAGATTTTTATAAAAAAGGATTAAGGAAGGTTTGTCAAAAAAATAAACCCAGGTATTATGGGATTACTAGTCAACAGCTAGTTTTCAATACGTAGGATATATCATTTAGAATATTATTTTTGACATCATTAACCGAGATAACTTATTCTACGGGTTATGTGGGCTATTCATGAATTTAACTGGATAAATATTGCTATTACGTAAGGTTAATTCTCTCTCATCATAATAAAGTGTGTGAAAAGTTACAAAGATCATTTAGCACTAAATATGACATTAACGTGATATATAAAGTCCTAATAAACTTAATGCGTTATTTAGTAGTTACGAAAATAACAACTCCCTAGGCTTGGTTTGCAAATTACAGTGTAACTGCAGAAAATAGTAGAAAACATTGATTATCGTCGCTCTGAGAATAAGGACCCGTCTGTCAAGGTCAAAGGTGAGCGACGCGTGACAATGAAGTGTTCGAGAAGAAAACAAGGCCTCACCCTTAGCAGAGTCAAGGAACGACACGAAAAGATTTCCGGGACTGTGCAGCACGTGCACAACAAGTACACAGTCATCTGATTGTCAGAATGTACAAGCGTCATCGAAGAAAGAAATTGGCTACACGAGTGTGACAATGAGGCATTCATCATCCATTCTTGCAGCAATGTCACCTGTGACATAGGACACGAACTTTGCCCGGAATCGATTAGCTTTGTCGCCCATATCGCCCAGGAACTATTTAGCCAGCAGTACGGACCAAAATCTTGCTTTCCTCTCCAAATCTACCAAGCGCTGCAGATAACAGGACAAGCCTTAGAAAGCCGACTAACCTCCTACCCTTAAAAAAGGCTCTTGAGATACGGACCGAAATGTAGGTAGTAATCAATCATCCAATAAACCATACTACATTTTTGCGATGTCTATTAATAAACAATGTTTTATGCTGTTGCTTAGTATGACCAGGCAGAAGACAAGGTCAGGAAATTTCTGCAGTGGCTTTGATCCTTCGTCGATCGAATTTCAAGCTCGGTCAGCGCGTTTATCTACGCAGACATCTGTGCATCGCGTTTTATAGGGTAGCAATTAATTTGGGTAGTGAGCCAGAAATTCAGTATTTCGTTTGTGCGTTGTTGCCACATGTCTGACCCGTGTGCCTCCGCAACCCAAAACGATGAGGGGTGATTGAAACTGCATGGCTGACCGATGGGCGGGACAGGTTACAAGAAGAACCGACCATCGCTGGACCAGAGATGCATTGGACTTAGTTCCAACAGAGAGTAAACGTCTTCCGTAGGAAGACTTCCAGATCTATGGCAGAATGAGTTGAATACATTTGCTGGATTCAGCTGGATAAAAATCACAGAGAGCAAAGTTCATAGCTAAACCTCGGAGAGCCTTTCACCAATTAGCGAATCGAGAAAAGCATATGATGATTATTAACTAGTACTTCTTCACGTTCGCTCACGAGAATCATTTCAGGCTGAAAGACCACGGATGAACATAAAATTTAGTGATAGCTAACTTAAAAATATTATAGTTCTTATTAACGTAGTCATGAAGGACTATTTCAAAATAAAAATTTCGGGCGAAAGAATTTTCGTTGTCCGTGTAACCCTGTGTAAGCTTCGATTTCAGTTTGCCAATTCCCCTGAATGTTTTTTCAAGGTTTGCTATTGACAGAAGGTAATATGAAAGGCGCAAGCGCAGAGAAATACGGCGCAGACGTGCTATGTTATTGGTCATAATCTCAAGTCTAAGAATTAGCGCGAGGATGATTTGCAATCGTTTGTCAGATAAACTGTTGACTCAAGATTCGAAAAAATTCCGTGAGTCATTCGCGCTGTCTAGTTGGAGTTGTTTAGCGGATCGCACGCAAATATCCACAGTCGTTTCTCGGCCGACTTGCTACCGCTTTAAAATAGCTGAGCTGAGAAGCTAGGGGCACACTAACGGATCGTCTTGTTGGAAAGAAATTGCCTTCGCTGTGTACGGGACAAGCCGATTGCCGTACATAATTTGCAACAGTGAGATTCGTTTCAAGCGGTGGCCGTGAAAGCGACATCCTGACGCGAACGTTCGAACGTGAGTTCTCGGTTGCTGTTTAAGCGAGTGAAGAAAATCAGCCAACTGTTGCTTTATTTGCGACTGATGCCGCATGACTCATCACATAATGACTTGTGCTTGTTTTGAAATGTGCTGAAAGCTAGTGTTTGCTCGTACGCAGAGTGCTGAGGCGTTCTTTTGGCTGGATTATTTGAACGAGGTTGCAGAATGGATTATCCGAGATCTGGCGCTTCAGGTGACCTGGCTTCGTTAGCAAAGCCAAAGCCGTTTAGTGTCAAGGAGAGCTCGTATCGTAAGGTGGCTCATATCAGCAGCAGCAGAAAGCAGACAGTGCAACGAGGTGACATCTCTAGTGCGATACCTGAGCAGTTACTAAAGAGGTGTCCGATGTCCAGAGAAGAGATGGCGGCCAATCGCACCGAAGGCCGAACTTTCGCGTTTTCCGAGACTGGTTCCGCTGGCAGCACAAGGAGTTTAGATTCGGTGCCGCTGCACGTACAGCAAACTTCCGAGAAGGAGGTGGTGGACAGCATGTCCGACGACGGCAGCAGCCGTTATCATAAGGAAGTTACCTCGACTCGAAGGGTAGAGAGCAGTCGCCTGACACACGAGTC